TTAAAATTTTGTTGAAGGAAATAGTATGCAATAAAAGTATTATATTCTGCTAAGTGGGTAGGCTTGGGGGTGGGAGGGAAACTGGGGGCATTGGTGGAGGGAAGGGGATGTTGGCACAACATTGTATGCCTGAAACAACTATTCTGAATACCTTTAAAAGTCATGGTAATTAATAAAAATTTAAAGAGAAAAATGCAGGAAATGCCGAATGGTTCAGCCCTTTTGGAAAACAGTATGGATGATTCTCCAAAAATTAGAAATTGAGCTCCCATTTGACCCAGCAACACCACTACTCGAAATATATCCCAGAGAGGCAAAAAAGTATAGTTGAAGTGACATCTGCAATTGTTTGTTCATTGCAGCACTCTTTAAAATAGCCAGAATCTGGAAAAAATCTGAGTGCCTGAGAACAGATGAATGGTTAAAGAAACTTTGGTACATCTACACAATGGAGTACTACGTAGCAGTTAGAAAAATGAAGTCACGAAATTTACATACAAGTGGTATTACGTGGAAAGTATCATGCTAAGCGAAATGAGTCAGAAAGAGAGGGATAGACATAGAAAGATTGCATTCATCTGGGGGACATAAAGTAACAAAATAGGAGACTAACACCCAAGAATAGCCGAGATAAGTACCAGGAGGCTTACTCCATGGCTTGGAGGCCAGCGGCACACGCTAGGGGAAAAGGCTGCTCAGACAGAGAAGGGAGCACCAAATAAAGGGTGTTGGGAGGATCCGCCCAAGATGGGAGATGCATGCTGAAAGTAGACTATAGACCAGCCATGATTGCCACTCAATATCTCTTTTGCAAACCACAGCACTCAAAAGGAGAGAAATAACAAAAGGAAATGCCCTGCCACAGAGGGAGGATGGGATGGGGGGCTGGGGGGTAGGAGAGATACTGGGATCAGTGGTGGTGTAAAATGGGCACTGGTGGAGGGATGGGTACTCGATCATTGTATAACTGAAACCCAAGCACAAAAATCTGTAAGTTTACAACTGTACCTCATGGTGTTTCACTGATAAAAATTTTAAAAAAAAAATGAAAAAAGAGAAAAATGCATGACAATGAATGTAATATCCTTTAGGATAAGAATAAATATGATACCCACAGATGCAAAAAAAGCATTTGACAAGATCCAACACCTATTTATGAAAAAAAAAATCCCTCAAGAAAATGTGAACAGAAGACACTTCTCTCAATACAGTAAAGGCTGTACATCACAAACTCCCAGCTAACAACTTTTCAATGTGGAAAAACTGAAAGCATTTCATCTAAGATCAGGAACAAGAAAAGAATGTTCACTCCCACAACCATTATTGAACACAATATAGGAAGGTCATGATACAAAAAATCTTGGGAAGAGATAATAACAAATCCAAACTAGAAAAGAAGCCAAATTATCAATTTCACAGATAGCATGAAATTATACACAAAAATTTTAAAGACTCTACAAATAAACTCCTAGAAACAATAAAGCTATATAGTAAAATGGTGGGCTGAAACGATAGCACAGCGGGTAGGGCGTCTGCCTTGCACTCAGCCAACATGGCTGACCCGAGTTCGATTCCTCCGCCCCTCTCGGAGAGCCCGGCCAGTTACCGAGAGTATCTCGCCTGCACAGCAGAGCCTGGCAAGCTCCCCGTGACGTATTCGATATGCCAAACACAGTAACAACAAGTCTCACGATGGAGACATTACTGGGTCCGCTTGAGAAAATCGATGAACAATGGCAGGACAGTGACAGTAAAATGGTAGGTTACAGCTACAAAACCAATATGTAGAAATCTGTTGTATTTCTATATGCACACTATGAGATGGAACAGGAGAGAAAAAATCTGATTCCAATCACAACTGACTGCCCAAAATAATATAATTGGTAATCTTACAAAGGAACTGAAAGACTTATATGAAGAACATTACAAATTTTCTATTAAAAAAAGGAACAGAAGACACAAGGACATGGAAATATATTCCCTGTTCATGGACTAGAAGAATTAGCATCAGTAAAATGACTGTCCTATGTAAAGCACTATGTAAATTCAATACAATCCCTATAAAATTTCTCTAAGTTTTCTAGGACACAGAACAAATACTGCTAAAATTTATGTAGAGCAATAAAACTCCCCAAATAGCCAAATATACAGAGCAATTAAAACTCCCTAAATAAGGCCAGAGAGATGCAACAAGGGTTAAATACCTTGTATTTAATGGTTCAATACCCCAGTTCAACCCCTCACACTGCATCTAGTTTCATTAGCACAGAACCAGGAATAAGCCCTAAGTACCACAAGGTATGGCTCCCCCAAAAAGATCCTACAAACTCCTCAAACATTTAAAGCAGTCCTGAGAGAAAAAAAATGAAAAGAATTGCTTATCCTGAATATAATATTAATACAAAGCTTAAATAAGCAGAACTATGTGGTGCTGGAACAGCAGAAAGAGTTGAGAGCTCATTTATATGAACGCTCATCTATGACAATATAACCAGATGAATGAAGTAGAGTACAGAAAGCCCCTCCAACAAATGGTGCTGAAAAAACTAAAAAAAAAAAAGTTATCTGGATACCTAACCCTTACCACACACAAAGGTCAATGCCATTACCCAAGATAGCAGAAGCAGAGAAGAAAGTGAGTCACACAGCTGAAGTGTTGGGGCTGGAGAGATATACAGCAGGTAAGGTGCTTGGCTTGCATGCAGCAGAACCAGGTTTGACCCCTGGCATCCCATACAGTCCCCTGAGGGTGCCAGGAGTGATTCCTCAGCGCATAGCCAGGAATAACAACTGACCACTGCTGGGTGTGACACCCAAACAGAACTAAATAAATAAATAAATCAAAAGTTTCTGCATTGAGGAAAAAAATTATGACTAAAATAAAAAGATGTGCTACACAGTGGGAAAAAAGTATCTGTTTAACAATAGGACAAAGACCTAATATCTAAGATATATGAAGCACAACAAAATAACTCATTGTTCAAAATCACTGTTAGGGAAATACAAATCCAAATGACAATGCAGTAACATTTCACAGTAGTGAGAATGTTCCTCTTCAAAAACCACAGAAATAACCAATGTTGGCAGGGATGTGGTGAAGAAAGAACCTACTCAATTCACTCTTGGTAGAACTGTGACTTGGTTCAGTCTCTAAGAAAAAAAAGTACAGAAACTTTAAAAAAAAAACACAGATTCCATATGATACAGAATAAGATACAATATGATAATCCAATTCTTGGGCATCTATGCCAAGAACTCAAGACATTAATATGAATTTCTATGCTGGGACATTTCTTGGAGGGACACTCACTATAGCTCATATCTGGAATAAACCCAAGTGTTCAACAACACGAGTTTAAACTGTGGTATAAACACAACAAAATGCTACTCGGGCATAAAAAAAAGATGACATCTCATAGTCAGCTGCAAATTGAATAGAGATGGAGGGTATTATGCCGAAGAAGAGAGGGAGGACAGATACCAAATTATCTCATTCACATGTGGAGTATAATAAAGCACAGTAAGGAAATAAACAACAGTAGAGATAACAGAACATGAGAATCTGCTTAAAGAAATGACTCTCCTAAGGGAGAAGGTGGAGGACAGGAAGGAATCTACAGAGGTGGAGGACTGCTGGCACTTGGGTAGCAGGTGTGGCGCAGTGACATTATCTACCCTAAACAGAATGTTCACACGAACCTAACTCAATGTGTCCAAACGGGGGGGGGGGGGGGGGGGTGGGATCTATCAAGCAAGATGGAATGGTGCAGTGGCATGCACCAGAGCTGGCGAATGGAGATCATAAAATTTCTACGTGATTAACTGAGGGTGCCCCTTGGATATTGTGTCTCAAGAGAGAGAGAGAGAGGGCCATTAAATGAAACTGGCCAGTTGCCCACTGTGGGGTGCTGACTCGGAGCAGGATTCCTGAGGATGGTGGCACTGCTGCCAGCTGGCAGAGCTACCGCAGCTCTCGGCCTCTCAGCACTACGGGGAGCGCAGAGTTTTAAAGTGACTAAACAGGGCTCTTTAGGTCCAACTTGGCGCCACCAAGGAGCATAGGTCCCGGAGTTAGGGGGGCACCCTGGGTTCCCACCATGGGGCGCTGGCAGGGTGGCCCCACTGCCATTTCTTCTTTCCCCAGACAAGCCCATGCCCCCCATAGCATATTATGGAGGAGGACCTCCCTAAGTGCCAACTGTATGGAGATGGATGATGGGGTAGTGGTCAGGTTCTGCTGCAGACTGTCCAAGCTGCAAAAGGCAGCAGCCCTGGCCCCAGTCCTCTTCCCTGTCGGGGTCACTGCTGCCATCACCACTGCGGTCCAGGGCGTGCAGAGCATCTCCAGGCAACCTGGACCCAAGGGGAGAGAGCATCAGCAGCCTGATGGTGCCCTCAGGCTTCCTAATGCCCTGATGTCGCTGCTATGCCGCTGGCCAGACTCCAACAACTCAGGACCAAGTTTTCTGAGAAATTAAACTGCCAAAGGTGGAGCTAGGGCGTTTGCCTTGCATGCAGCTGGCCCGGGTGTGATCCCCAACATCCTGTATGGTCCCCCAAGCACCGCCAGGAGTAATTCCTGAGTAGTGCAGAGCCAGGAGTAACCCTGTGCATCGCCAGGTGTGACCCAAAAAAGCAAAAATAAATAAATAAATAAATAAATAAAATAAACTGCCAAAAGGAAGTAACACGGAAGCCAAGCCTACAAACCACCTCCAGCTCAGCCATACAAGCTGAGCCTCATAAATACATACAGTCCCCTAAGCACTGCCAGGAGTGATCCCTGAGTCCAGAGCCAGGAGTAACCCCACCCAACACTGGGTATGACCAAAAATTAAAAAATAACGGAAAAAAATGTTCTTCACGTTTTACTTTATATACACACACAGGATCTATTCATGAAAGTTATATTTACCAAGAAGCCATTAATCAAAAAAATACCATACTTGAGATGTTGACAGCCTTTTGGGAAAGCAGACACAAAACAGTATGCTTCTTACCTCATTTGCTTCACTCTGTTGCTGCTCTTTCTTTTTTCTTCTTTTTTCTCTCTTCTTCTCATTTGTATTTGATTTGCTTGTTTGAGACTTCCCAGTATTCCGACCTTTGCCCTTTCCAGGTTCAGAATCGGAACCGCTACCACTATCCACTTGCAACAGAGCAAAACGAGAAGCAGTAGTGGGAACAGAACTAAGCACTGCCGAAGCCATTGTCAAGATTTTTCTTTTAAAATACTTGGCAAGAAACACTCCTGTGAGAGGAAGAGGAGGGAAATGTATAAATATGCAGTAAAAAACTTTTTCCAGATCAGAAGTTCCCAAAGTTATTTGACTTTTACAGAAAAAAAATTAGTCAGCAACCCCCTGGAAATCTACCTTCACAAGTGAGCAAATAAAAAGTGCCCCCCAATTACACCCAGGGCTTACTGCTCCCCTCTTGCATCCTTTCAGCACCTTGAGAGGGGGCAGTATTTTTAGCTATGCCACTCTAAACTGTAGAACAATAAATACATTTTTCATGCGATTTGATTTAGTAATATTTGGATTCATACCTAGCCCTATATGCAATACCCTTCTTTTAATTAAATGAAATTATGTAAAATATACAAAATTATCCCCAGGCAAGTACTGTAAGATGGTCTCAGTCTAGTCATCTTTCCATATATAATTTTAAGAAACACAATTTTCCTCCCTTCTGGCCAGGTCCCAAGAGCCTCCCCAGCAGACCTCCACCACATTAACGGGCCCACACCACAGCTACTTAGCCTCTGCTTGGTGCTCCACCCTTCAGGATGAGATGAGTCTCCCTGAGGTCCAGCAGCCTCCAAACCCTACTCAATGATATCAACAGGCCCAAACCACTACTCCTGCAATTCCCACAGTAATTATGGTTATAATTCCCGTCACAGGTGAAGCAGAGAAGTAAACGAGCAACTCTAGGCCTCATCCTTCAATCTCCCAGAAGGTCTAACTATAGAGTCGCCCTGAGCAAAGCAGGAACACTAGAAAGCCATTGAGGAAGACACACAGAAGCCCACCAAGGGGCCAGAGTGATAATATAGCTGGCAGGGTACTTGCCTTGCCTTGCACGTGACCCTGGGTTCGATCCCCAGGACTCCACAGGGTCCCCAACATTTGTCCCCTTTCTACAGTTTTCACCATTTCCCATAAATATTCCATTAATGAAGAATAAATATATTCTACACATTTATTCTATAAGATAAAAAGTGTTTTTTAAAAAGGAAATGATGGGGCCAGAGAGGTAGTCACAGTAAGTAAGACACTGCCTTGTATGCAGTCAACCCAGTTTAATCCCTGGCCTAAATATAGCACCCCAAGTCCCACCAGGAGAAGACAATAGAGAGTAGAGGCAAGAGTAATAAGCCCTGAGCACCACTGGGTGTGGACCCCAAACCAAAATAAAACAGAAAGGAAAATGATTACCTATATCCGAATTCATAAAGTTAAGCATAATATGATCAATGCAGTATTAATTTTTCTGTATGAAAAGCAAGAAAGCACTATAATATAGGTCGTAAATGACAAGAAGCCTTTTTTTCACATTAGTGTGCAGACAACAAGTGACAGAGATAGACTGTGAAAGACTAGTTAAACTGCAGAGATCTTTACCTTCGTTAGGCAATTTTTCTAATTTGCAAATTATGAAATCCAGCAATTCACAAGGAACTCTTTCCTTTTAAACTCTGGAAACAGGATAAATGACCAGACCACGACAACATTAGGCCGTGTAGCACTGCACTGTCCTCCGTTGTTCAATGATTTGCTCAAGCTGGCACCCGTAACGTCTCCATTGTGAGACTTGTTACTGTTTTCGGCATATCAAATACGCCATGAGGAGCTTGCCAGGCTTTGCCGTGCACGTGGAATACTTTAGATAGCTTGCCGGGTTCTCCGAGAGGGGCGGAGGAATGGAACCTGGGTTGGCTGCCTGCAAGGCAAACGCCCTACCAGCTATGCTATCACTCTGGCCCAAGGCTGTGAAAAGATACTTTTTTAAAGCAAGTAACTAGGGCTAGAAATCCTTCAGCTTAGTGTCCTAACTTTCTGCATTTACTTACAGTCATAACTAAGAGAAGATGGGAAAGAGTCTATGGTGTTCACTTCCCTCCTTCAATTGGTTTCCCTCCCAACCCCTGCACTCTACTTAAAACCTCCCATTTATAAACACAAGCAACATGACCTTAACTAGAGTCCACCATGTAAAAACATGGTAATTAGTAAATAATCTGGAGAAAACTGTTTATTGTGTGTCCAGCCTCTACAGTCTTGACTGGCACCCCATTAAGGCAGGAATTCTTCCTATCCCTAAAAACCAACACAAGACCTGGAACACAAAAGATAAGTTTACTCAATTTGTGTTTTCTTTTAATTCTCCGAGTACATGACTAGCGATCCGTGTACTGAAGAGAAAGGATGGGAAATGAAAATTCAGTGTGCTTTTTAGAGAGTCTCCAATTCGGATAACTCAAATATGAATCAACAAGAATCATTAATTAAAGTTCAAAGTTGTTTCACTACAAATGCTACCTTATTAATTTCTCATCACAACTAGTTTTAAATAGGAAACATAATTAGCCACAAAGCGCTGCTTGAAAGAATTCACGTATATCACGTTTAAGTAAATGGATGCTAAAATGAATAGCCTAAACAGCAAGCAGCAGGATTTCTGATAGGTATACTGGACTCTACTCAAGATCTGGGGTCCACTGCCACTGGATCTCATCCCTCATCCCTTGACCCATCCAGGATCAAGAAAGGCAGTAGTCATCAAGAAGGGTTGTGGTCTTTACTCATAGACTCCCCACTACACCCCTTACCCCCAACTGATTATCACTGTAGGCAGGGCTGAGAAACACTGGTCCAGAGAATGTTAACAATCCCATCACCTGCAAATTCTGACTTCTATAAACTTCTATAGGTCTATTTTTCTTCCCTTTCATAACACATTTGTCAACATCTTCCAGTCGCCACCATAAAGAGGAAATGTTCTGAAAGGCAGATTCCTAGGATAGGAAGATTTAGTCATCGAACCAATATTAGAAAACTTCTCTTCTAGCTGGTTTAGGTCATTTGAGGGGCTTATGTGAATACTTGAGTAGTGAATAAGAACCGATTTCAATAAACTTGAGTAGTGAATAAGACATGACTTCAATAAAAACTGATAAAAGAATAACAATATTATAAAAATGGATTTTGATTCAGGAGGGATACTTAGGCACAAAGCACCAGGGGAGAAAAATCACCCTTATGGAAGGGCTTTTGAAGAAAAGACTGGTCTGAGCTGCACCTGGAGAACTGGAAGAACTGTAGTTCTGGAGGAATAGGGGAGGGAGAAAGAAGGGCAGGAAAGAGATCCAAGCAGGGGGTACTTACCCCATATGGTGATATTAAAGACCAGATGGTGGGTCAGACGGGGCAAGGGGCACCTGGACACGGTGGAGGAAAGCTGACACTCTACTAGAGGGTGTGGTGTTGGAATTCTTTTTGCATGAAACCTGCCATTATTAATATTGTAAATCATAGTTCCTAAAATAAAATTAAACAAACAGGGTAGAGTGTGAGGAAAGGAAAGTGTGTGTGTGTGGGGGGGGGGGGGGGCGGGATTAGAAAGAAAGAAAAGTGGTAGTGTACAGTGGTAGCCAGATCTCAATCCAGGGAATGACAAATAGGGCCCATCAAAGCTGGCAAATGTATCTATAATTCTCAATCAAGAACAATCACATCATTACGCCCTTTTTGAAAAATGACAGCCATGTTTCTTTCTTTTTTTGAGAGAGAGAGAGAGAGAGAGAGAGAGAGAGAGACTTTCTGTAATAGAAGTGACACTGCACTGTGACAGTACACAAATTTCAGGTTGACAGCCATGTTTCATTAACACCATCAACAAGTTAGCATGATCCAAAAAAAAAAGAAAAGAGAAAAGAAAGTAATGCACAAAATAGATGCCAATTACCTGGGTCGCCCCGAGAGGTAACTTAGATCTAAGAGAACAAAACCTACCTTCCTACCTTGCGCTTAAAATGAAACAGCACTGCATATTAGGGATTTAATACCCCGTGACATTTTGGGGGAAAAAATGTTATTTTATGTCCGTTCCTCCACTAACAGCATCGTTCACCTTGGGTGCTTATACATCAAGGTTCCCTACCAACAAGTTGTCAAGAGCGTGCCTAAACTTCACTCGCAACGTGCTTACTCTGCACACCAGATAAACTTTTAATTTCCTTCCCAGCCGTAAGTCCAGTCACTCCCATTCTAACAAGCAAAAACTAGCAGCAGGTGCTGCTGCGAAGGCCGGGACGCGCGTGCCCGCGGCGCCCGGAGTTTGTCCGTCCCGTCCCCGTCTTCTGGTCGGTCAAGTTCGGGGTTTTGCTTATTAATGCCCGAGTAAAGCCAGCGCAATAGGCCCTCCCAGGGAAGGTTTGTGGCGTGATTCAACATCGTTATTAACACAGTCCTCTCTGATCACTGAACCCGACATACGACGCTGTGAACTTAAGCTTGAGGACGAGAGCGAGACCCCCGCCAGACTGCAGCATCCCGGGCCGCCGGGACGCCCCTTCCCCGCGCCGAGTCCGGGCAGCGCTGGCTCTCACGGGCGGAACGCGACCGGGTGCCCCGCTCTGCCCCGGGCTTCCCCCGGGCCCGACCCGAGCCCGGCTGGGCCAGGCGGCGACACGGCGAGCAGCGGCAGGAGGGTCCGCCGGGCCGTCCCGCCGCGCCCACGCCCCTCCCCGGCGCCGCGCGCGGAGCGGGCAACTTTCCCTGCGGGTTGCAAAAACTTACTCGCACCCCGTGCCCGGGCGGGGGCCGCGCAGCGACGCGGGCTCGGCACGGACGCGCGTCGCGTCGCGTCGGGCCGCACCTGTCACTCGGGGCCCGGGCCCGGCGCGGCGAGGCCGGCGGCTGCCGGGGCCGGCGCCGCGGCGGCCTGCGAGGGAGGACCGGCCTCCGTGCCCGGGCCCGCGGCGCCAGGCCGAGGCCGAGGCCGGCGCCCGCCCGGGGCCCCGCCGAGTGCGCGGCCTCCCCCGCCGGGCCGCCTCCGCGTACTCACCGGGCCTCCCGCCGGCGCGGCCCTCGCTCCCGCCTCCCCGCCGCCGCGGCTCCCGGGCCGGCCGCGCTGGGCGTTGGGACTCGCCGCCGGGTCAGGCGCCAGGCACGGGCGGCGCGCGGGCTTCGTCAGCGGGCGCCGGCACTAACGGGCCCCGGGCGGGTCCGAGCGGCTGCGGGG